GTGGGACTCGATCCCGGGACTCCAGGATCATGACCTGAGCTGAAGGCAGTCGCTTAACCAACTGAGCCACCCAGGCGCCCCTGTGCTTTTCTTTCTCTTTCTTTCCTTTTTTTTTAAGTAGGCTCCATGACCAATGTGGGACTTGAACTCACAACCCTGAGATCAAGAGTTACACGCTCTACCTGCTGAGCCAGCCAGGGGCCCCTGCCGGGGGTGGGGGGCTTTCCTAAAGGAAGAGATACAGTGTCCCTGACCCAGCCGGGGTGCCCTGAGCCTAGCGTGGCAATGCTGGCCTCAAGCGGGCGGAGGGGGGCATCTGATTGAAGACATTGCAGATGATCCAGAGGGGATGATGGGCCGGGCGAGGGGAGGACTCCCAGCAGCTGGAACAGACGCCTCCCGAAAGTAGAGTGGCAGTCTGCAAGGTCAGCACCAACTGGCCTGCAGCAGCCCGAGGGGGTCCTGCTGATCCAAGGCCCGGGGACGGAGGGCAGCAGCAGAAGGGGCCAGAGGGCTGAGGGCTGCGGGGGGGGTCAGCCCAAACCCCCCACGTGGAGGATGGCTGGGGCCTGGGCCTCGTCGTTGTCCAGCCCTGCATTCGGTTGAATGCTCACCTGCCTCCGTGTATCTGGGAGTGGGGAGATGCTGCACTGTCGGCCTGAGAGAATGCGGGTTTATCTCCGTTAATTTATTTATTGAAGCTTATTTCTACTCCATCTCTTTCCACAAAGCCTGTGAGGTTGCCAGGTTCACGTTGGCGGGCTCTTGGCCGTGAGCGGAAGAAACACGGCTCGCCAGCTGACCACGATCACACCATGCTGCAATCACCCGTCCACCCGTCCGTCCTCCCCAGACTGCAGCTCCAGGGGGGCAGGGACACCCTCCTCCCTGTCGCAGGCCAGGCGTGGTGGCACACAGTAGGGGCTTAATGAACACGTTATCTTGGGAGGAGGAAGTAAATACGTTTATTGTACAGATGTGGCCGGCTTCTGAGGCCGTAGCATTGAGTTTGAAGTACTTTACCACAGATTATTCCATTTCTCATTTTTTAAAAGATTTATTAGGGAAAGAGAGGTCGTGCACGTGCGCACACAAGTGGGAGGCGCAGGAGAGGGAGAGAATCTCAAGCAGACTCTGCACTGAGTGTGGAGCCCGACATGGGGCTCGATCCCAGGACCCCGAGATCAGGACCTGAGCCGAAACCCAGAGTCAGACACTCAATCGACTGCGCCACCAGGCGCCCCGCTCTCAGGATGAAGTACTGCAGGCTTGTGACCCGCGGGGAACAGTGGCAGGAGGCAAGGTCGAGGCTGAGGCTGCAGGGCAAGTGTGAGGCTGGCCACAGAGCCTTCCAGCTCCAGGCTCCCACAGATCGCACTACTTCCCTAGCTGGGGGGGGGGCGAGGGCGGCAGGATTGGGAGAGGCCCCCTGAAGAGGTCAGCAGAGACCTGGAATTTTCTCTGGGCGGCTGGGGCTGGAGCTGGTGGAGCAGGAGCTCGCCTCCGCTGCCTCTCCCTCGAAGGAGGGGTGAGGCAGGCCGGTGCGGACTTGGCTAGGGAGCTGGGGAGGCGTTTGGTGGCAAGGCCCCCCAGAGCCCGCGCCCTGCTTCCTGGCCTGTGGCTGCCCTGGCACGCGACCTCTGCTCAGTAAGGAAGCAGGATATCACACCAGGGGGGCTGCGGCCCTGGGACATTTCAGGTGCTTTGTCCCCAAAGTAGCATCTGGTCCTAAACCACACCCGGAAGAGGCTGCAGGGACTCGGCCCCGGCTCCGCACACCTGAGCCACTGCCGACTGCTCGTCCTACACATCGCAGCCGCCCCGGAAACATGGCCTTGCCCTCGGATAAATCCACAGGACAAAGCCACTTGATTTTGTATTTTGTCAGCCTGGGGGCTAAGTTTTAACTTCTCCCTTGCAGTTTGGTGACTGTTAGCACCGTATGACCCGCGCGCCTGGAGTTTGGGCTATGTGTCAGCTTCGTCTCCTTCAGAGCGGGCGGGCTGTCCACAATCTCATGGGCGACAGAGTCCAGGTGCATGGGACCAGGGCAGTGGTAAGACAGCCTGGTAAGCTGGAAGCTCCTTGTGGAATAGACCATGGCATGCCCCGCCCCTCCTACCCCTTTCCCAAGGGCTGGGGGCAGGTGTCCCAAGCCACCTGTTCTGTTGGATGGGGGTGTGGGGGGTGGGGATGAAATCTAGAAAAAGGACCGTCTTAATGGAGTAGGGAGAAGGAAGGGAAGCTCTTCTCAGGATGGGGACTGTAGGTTCGAGGGGCTGGTCTCCTTCTCCCACGGCTCAGAGAGGCAGTGGGGACAGAGGAGAGTGGGGAGTCAGGGTCCAGGAAGGTGAGGTCTGGCATGGGTGTGGACCACTCTAGTGTGAACTCCCATTCCCCCTCCCTGAGCCTGACTGGAGCTGGGCCTGGACAGCTTTAGACTATCAGGTAGAGGGGAGACTTGGCAGGGTTCCTGAGAGGGGTCGGGAGGGTCTGGGCAGAGGGAGGGAACAGAGCAGGGACCTGGGGACTCTGCCTCCTCCTCCGTGCAGCCCAGTGATTCCTGGCTCTTGCAGGAGGGAGGCAGCCTGGCGGAAGGAGGGGGGCGTGGATGGGAGCAGTCCCAACCTCCCCCACTGCAGCGCTAGGCCCAGGGCTCATCGTGAGCAGGGGCGGGGCAGCAGCCTGCACAGCGGCACACTGGCCGTCCTGGGTGCTTGGTCCCCAGGTGTTCCCGGAGCTGAGCCTCGGCCCTGGGCACCAAAGCTCAGCAGTGACCAGACCTCAGACAGCGGCTCTCAGGACCTGGGGTGGCGGTTCCTGGGGCCTCTGGGCACCTCAGGAGCTGGGGCATCCAGGGCCTGTCTCCGGATGAGCTCTGCATACAGCCCGCCCTTCTTCAGGAGCTCTTCATGGGTCCCCACCTGGAGAGAGGAAGGAGGTGCAGGTGATCACTCCAACCCAGTTCAGAGCCCTAGGTGGGCTGGCTGCTTATCAGCCGTTGGGCTGTCTCCTAAGCTACTGTCCCTTCTGGGGATGCTATGAACCCAAACACAGCTTGTTTCAGGTCGCCACTGGCACGTCTGTATTCGTTAGCGCCACCTGTCTGCTTAGCCGGGTTTTGGAAGAGCGTCTGAATCCTTCTATCTCCCTTACGGAGTCCAAAGACTCCAGCTTTTACTCGAATGGGGCCTCCCGGCCTTGCTGCAGACCCAGCGTCTGGAGAGCTGCTCCTGGCCGGCCCCTGACCAGCGTCCCTCATGCTGCCTCCTCTGCACCTTGGCCCCTAGGCCCTTCTGTTCGGCACTCTACACTTCCCTGAGTCCTTTCCCTTTGGTCCTGGGAGCCATGACGGAGCTCGACTATCCCCATGGGGCAGAGGAAGAAACGGGCCCTGAAAGACCAGGCCAGGAGCTCCTGAATCCACACAGGGTGCTGCTTCCAGAATACGGCCCCAGGCCCCTAGGGCCAGGCCAGAACCTCCCACGGCTCAGCTGAGCCATGCTTTCCACTCTGTCCACGGCTGAAGCTGTCCCAACCCAGCGAGCCGCTGCCCGGCCCCCAGCTGACCTCGCAGACTCGGCCGTGGGCCATGACGACGATGTGGTGGGCCCCACGCACGGTGCTGAGCCGGTGGGCGATGACGAGTACCGTGCGGCCGGCGCTGGCGCGGTCCAGGGCCTCCTGCACCACCCGTTCGGACTCCGAGTCTAGAGCGCTGGTCGCCTCATCCAGGATCAGCACCGCGGGCTGCTTGATGAGGGCGCGGGCGATGGCTAGGCGCTGCTTCTGGCCTCCAGACAGGGTTGCGCCCCGCTCACCTGGGGGGAAGGGGACAGGGCAGGGCCTAAAGTGATCTTCACAAAGGGGGGCCAGGGCCACCTGAAACTTCCCATCCGGCCCCTCAGCGCCCCCCACCCCGCACTGGCACCACGCACATTTGTCCTGCCTCTGATTCCTCAGCATCCTGATCCCATAACCCTGTGCAAATGCACGAATGCGCTCACACCAGACAGCAGGAGCTGCGCACGCGTGGGACTCAGTGCACCCCAGAGTCACCGCGTGCCCCCCCCATACCAGGGCAGGGTTTCTGAGCCGGGCTGGGGCCTGCCCTACCCTGGCCCGCTGGGTCTCCACTGCTGGGGGGATGTCCAGGACCCGGATGTGGGCCCTGGAGCGGGGTGATGGTCTGCCACGGCACATTTGGGCAAGACTACCCTTGGGGTCTACGATGTCCACAAAAAACAGCAGAGGTGGCAGCCTGGAAGCTAAAGAGAGCACCACGATGACAGCAGTCGGAGACCAGTGGGGGCAGATGGGCCGCAGGTGGGCCTGGGAGTGTGCCGGGCTCAGAGGTACACAGAAGGTGCCGCTCTAGAGAGGTGTGGGGACGACTCCTCTCCTCAGGGTAGTGTGGAGTCTGAGCAGTGAGCAGAATCGGCTGGATCAGCAACAGAACATGAACAGTGGCTAAAGACGGGGTGGGGGGTGCCACTTGGCAGGGCTGAAGCTCAGCTAGACTGAGGCCTAAGTTTCAAGAAGAGTTGAAAACCCTAGCTATGCCTACACCTTGACACGTGCCGGAACATTCTGTAACAGAGCCAAGACTCTGGATGAAAAACCTGGCCCTGAAGGTTGAAAAGAAGACCCCTGAGATGAATGCACACAGCTGTAAGCTGCGACGTGAATATTCTAGTGTGAGGCTGTGATATTTCAATGTTTCCAGAACCACCGAAGCCCTTTCCTGGGTAAGTCAGAAGGCAGACCCATTCAGCCACATCAACCCATGGGTAACTAGACGGAAACATTTTCAAATTAAGGAATAAAAGGCAGGAATGACATGGGAGCCAGAAGCGCAAGGAATTTCGAGGCAATAATACCATGCTTCTGGCTGGGTCTCAGGACATGGGGGCCCCTGGCAAGCTCTGAAGAGTCCCAACACCACGGATCCTTTGTGTCCCTGGCCGGGTCTGGTACGTGTACTCCCTGCGGCGTCCCCGTCTCTGCAGCCTGTGTGTGACTGGACCACAGAACCATGTCCACCCGCCTAGGCCACGGGTCTAGTCTTCCCTGATGCCAGGTCTCTGTTCCTGCCCCCTGGATTCTCACACCGTGGGCCCTGCAGACCCGAGCAGGATGCCGTCCCCGGACTCACCGACGATGGTGTTGTAACCCTCTGGGAAGCTGGTGATGAACTCGTGGGCGTTGGCTTCCCGGGCAGCAGCATAAACCTCTTCATCTGTGGCTCCCAGCTTCCCAAAGCGGATGTTCTCCATGATTGTTGTTCCAAACAGGACTGGCTCCTGCAGGTGAGGGCTCCACATGGAACATTCTGACTTTGACCCAAACCCCAGAGGGGTACATTGGGAAAGGTGATTTTGGCCACACCAGAACTGCCCTCTTGGAGGGCAAGTAGGGGCAGTTCAAAGTTACAAGTCAAATAAGAACGGAGATCTAACAAAGTGGGGAGAGGCCGAGCTCCCTGCAAGGCACAGGGTCCCTCAGGAGTGGGATGGGAAGGTGGCTGGGAGAGCAAGGCCAGCTGGCCTGGCAAAGCCCCTCCTCTCTGGAGAGATGGGGAGAGAGGGGGTCTGTATTCTGGCTTTCTCCTGCAGCGGTAGGAGGTAAGGGTGCCCTCTTTATCCACTCAGAGAGGGGAAGGCAGACACTCGCTCGGCAGCACCACCTCAAACAGAAGGAAAGGGGCAGGGCTGAGGGCTTCAGGGTGGGGCTGTGGGGCCTTGCTTAGTGGGGGGCGGGGGTCTCTAGACCTTCTGGACACCACAGGTTTGTCAGAGAACCCAGAGATCCTCAAACAGCCTCCCACCCCACCTGCTTGGATGGCTTTAGTTGAGGAGCAGAGTTCCTACCCTGTAGACAAGGACAGAGCTGCGGTGGGCTGGCATGGGGAAGCCTCAGGTCTCCTGACCACTGGGGGACCAGTGAGGAAGGCCAGAGCCCTCCCACCCCCGCCCCGCCAAAGAGAACAGGGGGTGATGGGGGTGGGAAGGAAAGGACAAGGTCTGGGAGGTTAAAGACACATGTCCCAGGTGAGCCTGTGCAGAGAGGTAAGCCTCTCCTCTCCCCACCTGGCTGATGAAGCCAATGACCTGGCCCCGGAGCCAGGAGGGATCAAGGGTACGCAGGTCCCGTCCATCCAGCGTCACTACGCCCGCCGTGGGGTCGTAGAAGCGCTCAAGCAGGGAAGCCACGGTGGTCTTTCCTGGGGAATTGGGGTCGGGGAGATGGGGTGGTTAGGGACATCATGCCAGGAAAGGGGGACCCCTGGTGCGGTCCCGTAAGTCATAGGGTGGGAGGGTGGTGGGTTCCTCTCACCTCCGCCGGACTGGCCCACGAGGGCCACAATCTTGCCAGGGGGCAGGGTGAGGGTGAAGTCCCGCAGTACCTGGAAGCCGGGGCGGCTGGGGTAACTGGGAGGAGCCAAGAGAGACCCTCAGTCAGACCAGGTTCCCGGGGTCTCACTGGACCCCGAGGGGGACTCGGTTACAGGGAGACATTGACCCGCAGGTCCTCAGCCCAAAGGGAACGACCCCGCCCCCACCCGCCAATGCTCACCTGAAGCAGACGTTGTGGAACGTGATGGCCCCACGCAGGTGCTCTCGGGGGACGGAGCAGCCCCCAGACAGTGGGATGCATGGGCTCAGAGTCATGTACTCAAAGACCCGGCCCCCCGCGCTGAGCCCCCGCACCACCTGGGGAGGGGGTTGAAGTCTGCGGTGAGGGAGGGCTGGGGTCTGAGGGAAGGGCCGGCAGCGCTGCCCCATCTCCTGGACTCCCACACGCAGGCAGGGGAGGGGCTCGGGGCGTCCCCTCCACCTGACCCCTGTTCCCCCAGCACACAGGTGACGTTGCTGACAGGGCTCCAGCCCAGATCCCATGTCCACACCCTGGGGCCCGCCCCCCGACTGCCACTCACCTGGCCAAACAGGACAGAGAGGTTGGCCATGGACCTGTGGGGAGGAGAGAAAGGTTGAAAAAGTGGGGACAAGAGCCCAAGAGAAGACCGGCGCCAGAGAGGAGGGTGTGGGTCTCAGCTGCACTCTGGAGGGGCCGGCGGGAGACATGCTGGCTGAGGCTTGGAAACAGGCAGCCTGAAGGCGAAGCCCGACAACGCTCCTGCCATCTGGGACGGCGGCAGCCCTGGGATCCAGCAACACTAGAGAGTTCGCTGGCAAGTCACTTCTCCTTGGAGCCACGTTATCTCCTTATTCTCTCCCCGGCCACATGAGGCTGACAACTATCAGGGGCCTCAGGACGGGGCTCCAGGGAGATGGCTGCAGCAGGCAGGCACAGGGCCGTGGGGCTGGACTCTGCGCCGCCGCAGCGTGAAGGCTGGCTCCCGGAACATGAGGGGGGTGCCCACGCCACAGGCCAAGGTCAGCTCTGGCGCGACGGACTCCTGGGGGAGCAAGGGCTAATTAAGGTGGAAACACAGACGTGAATTCCTTCACAGAAAGAAAACCGAAGCCACTGGACTGTGTGTGGGGTGGGGGTGGGGGAGTGGGAACTCTGGGGGGACCCCAAGACAAAACTCCAGAGACACCTCAGTGTGGGCCTGCCCCACGTAAGGCATGGCGCGCGTGCTCTGTCCAGACAGAGGTCGCCTCCTCTGCCCTGCGGGGCCGTCGGCTGCTGGAAGGTGAGTCATGCTTCTCAGTCACCAGCCCCTGACTGGGCGCGCGTCTGTGAGTGTGCCCGCAGGTCCTTCCCGAACAGGAAAGACGGACTCTCTTGAAGAGGAAAATCACTTCTTCCAGCCCCAGGGGTGAGGAGGGGGAGGAGCCTGCAAGGAAGTGGTTCTGGCGGGCGCAGCGAGCTAGCGGCATTGGCCAACGTGAGTGCAGAGGCATCGAGCAAGGAAGAGCCAGGACAGTGAGCTCCCCGCGGATAAGAAGGGAGAACATCCTCCACCAGAGATCTGGAAGCCATTAAGGCCTGGCAGCGGTGCCCGGCAGCAACTAAAAACCAGATGCCCGTGACTCGGTGGTGTGTGATGCCCTTACTCTCAGAGATGGCTCAGAAGGCAGGCCTTGGCTCTCCTAAGAGGCCTGGCGGGGGGGCGGCCCACTCCCAGCAGGGCCCAGGCCTGGATGCAGACCAGGTGGCCTGACCCTGACTGGGGTCCATCTGGATGCCTCCCCATCTCCTCCAGAGACCCGGTGCCACAAAAAGAACACCTAGAATGGGGTCTACAGGTTGAGGCTCCCTCTCTCCCCTCCCTTCCCCTGCAGGACCCCAGAAGGAAATACACCAGCCTCCTTAATAAAATAGACCTAATTCCTCTAAAGTGGGTGGTGAAGAATGTCCAGGTGGTGATCGGCTCCCGAAGGACGGGCCCAAGGCCTGTGGCTGTGGGAGCGGCTCCCTCTAGCAGCCCGAGAGAGGTAGTACAGACGGACTCCCTAGGCTTTCCTGTTTGTAATAAAGCTCTGCTAACTCGCAAGGCAGTGCAGTGGGGAGGAAAGGAAAGGGTCTGAACTCGGGCCACAGGGGGACGTGGGGTCCCAGGGGAAGGCGGGCCTGAAGGAGGAGGGCCAGGCTTGGGAGGTGTAGGGAAAGGGAGACTTTCCCACCACTGCCCATGGAGGGCCCACACCGTGGAGGGCCATGTGGGGACTGTATGAATAGAACAAGTGGGATTCATCAGGGTCTTCAGGACCAGAGCAAGAGGCCAGGGCTCAGTCTGGGGTTGGTGCCAAGTCCCATCTCTACAACAGTCAAGAGCTTCCTAGTCCCCAGACTGGAGGAGGGATGAGGCCGCCTAGGGTCTGAACTTCAGAGAAAGTCTGAATGGGCTCATATTAGGAAGCCCTGGACAAAAACGGGGCTGAGGGTGGGAGTCTTGGGATGGGCTCCACTCTGCCTGGGACAGTGATGAGGCTGGTGGTGAGGGATGCTGTAGGAAACGGGTGGTAAGACACGATGCACAGCCCGGCCACACATGCCATGAGACTCAGACACCATGGGGAAGGGGCACGGAGGGGTGTCTGGGGCGATACCGTACTTTCTTGACATGGTTGACAGTAATGCCGGGCTCTATTCTTCAGTGATTTATTATAGCATATTCGCTCTTCAATTATTTATCATAACATCTATTCATGCTTTATGTACTTTTACACACAGCATGTGGGGGAGACAAAGGGATGAGAAACGGCAGCAGGAACTGCTCGTGGTTAGCTCAGAAGAGAAAGGGACGGGGAGGCCTTGGGGGTGTTGAACAAAGGGAACCGAGAGCTCTGGGCAGTCAGGCCCAGCGGAGCAGGCAGACCTCAGAGCCATGAACGCACTGAGCTCCAGGGTGGGCAGGGCAGGAGAGGGGGCGAGCTTCTCCTCCCTAGGAAGGTCAGGCAGAGGACAGCAGGGGAGCTCTTAAAGAGCAAGTCAAAGGTGGTCTATCCACACATGGAATCCCACTCAGCCTTAACAAGGCAGGCAATCCTGCTGCGGGCTGGGCCACGGATGCACCTGGGAGACATTACGCTGAGTGAACTAGGCCCGTCACAGAAGGACAGGCGCTGTGTGGTTGCACTTACGGGAGGGACCCAAAGTGGGCAGAGCACAGAGCCAGAGGGTGTCAGGGGCCCTAGTGGTTAACGGGCCCAGTGCTTCAGGTCTGCAGGATGAAGGAGTGCTGGTGACCGATGGCGGCGTGACGTGCGCAGAACGCGACTAACGTCTGCGCTAAAAACTGGTCAAGGTGGTACATTTTACATTACGTGTATTTTACCACAATTACCCATTTTTTAAAAAAGCTGTCACGGGCACTTCTGAGCTGTTTAGGCAGCCGAAGAGGACAGCCGCATTCCCGAGCTTCCGGTCGGTGCAGGAGGCTGCAGGGGGCCCTCCTCTCGGCACCTGCTTCCCTGAGGAAACTGGGCGGCCAGGGGCTGGGCAGCAGTCCCCAGAGCAGGCTGCCACCCCCTGTCCCGTGACCCAGCAGGGCTCCTCCAGGACGGGAACAGCCTCACACTCACCTCTGCACCGTCTGGGAGGCCACCAGGAAGGACATGAGGTCTCCCCCTGTTAGCTGCTGTCCAGCCACGAGGGAGCCCCCAATAAACAGGGTGCCCAAGACCATGCCTGCACAGGGGAAAGGGCCAGGTGGTTAGCAAGAAGTGACTAGGAGCCGAGGACAGAGCCCAGCCCAGGTGTTAGACCCCAGTTCCAGTCCCTGCTGTGCCTCTGACTGACTGAAATGTCACCAAGTCACTTCAGTGGTGTCTGCCTTTGTTTCTTCATTTGGAAATGAGGCATGGGGCGGCGGGGGGAGGGGGAGCAGCACTTGGGCAGATGGCACTGGGCAGATGTCTGAAGGACATCCCTCACCACCTCCCTCGTGGGAGCTATTCCTTGCCTGCCTTGCTGGGACCGTCCTTCGCTGCTCCACGCTCATCCCCAGCCATGACTGGGTGCTCCCACGCCCCGGGGAGCGGGGGCGACTTGCTCACTCACAGTTGAAGGCGATGTTGGAGAGCCCTTGGAACAAGGCAATGCCTTGACCCAGCTCCTCCGCCTTACAGCGGGACTCCTCCAGCTCTGCTCCGTAGCGTCTGGGGAGAGAGGCCAAGCCCGGCCGTCAGGAAGCAGCCAGGGCGGGGTGCAGGGCTGGTGGGGTGCGTTCGGGGAGTCCTCCCTGCTTCAAGTCCTTCCCCGTCCGGGACTCACTCCTCTTCTCGGTGCTCCATGGCGAAGGCCCGCACAGTCCGAACATTGCCCAGGGCCTCATCCGCTACGCCCGTTGCCCTGGCGACCTGCAAGGAGTCCAGGAAGTAGAGAGCGAGGTCGAAGCTGGGGAGGGATGGCAGGCAGAGAGAAATGGGGCCGGTGAGGAGGATGGGCAGGAAAGCCAGTACCTGCTCCTGACACTGGCGAGACAATTTTCGGAGAGCTGAGCCCATCAGGGTGCCAACTCCCATGAGGGTGGGTGTGGCCACCATCAGCAGCAGCGTGAGGCGGGGGGACAGCATGGACAGGGACACCAGGCAGCCAGCCACCTGGGTGCAGCTTCGCAGCCCCTGGGGAGAGGAGGAAGGCAGGAAGGTAGTTTGGCAATAGCACCCTGACGGGGGGGGACTTTACCAAGGGTCTGCTGGCTACTGCGTTACCCTCACAAGGCCAAGGCCATAGGTCTGAGCCCTGGGAGGCCAAATGGCAGTCCACCCAGTCATAAAATGGAACCCTTTCTCTACTAGCAGGCATGAAAGGGTTGGGTGAGAATGTCTAAGGACCACGGCATCCTTCCCCTAGATAAATCCCAGTTGGCTTTGTTTTTTGCTCAAGGAACTGAACAAAAAGAATTGAATAGGGATGTCATCCAGGGATTGCTATGGGCCAGTGTCCTGGCATGACCCAGCAGGCATGGGGACAGTGTGGGTGGATGAGGATGGGATATCAGTAATACAGTGAAAAGCCTTCACTCATTCTCCGTAACACTTGTCAGCATGCCAGGCATTCTGGGGGTACGGGAGGCCAGGGTGATTTTGCTCTTGGCAAGCTGGTCCAGGAAAGGCTCTTGTCTGAGTCCTTGGGAAGGTTTTCCGGGGAGGTAGAATTTCAGAACAGGAGAGAAACAGCCTGTCCTGACCTTGGACGATGCCACGGCACCTCCCTTCCGTGAGCTTCCCCATTCCCTCACCCATACCCTCACAGGACAGCAGGCTTTTCACTTGGTGTGAGCCTAGGCTCAGGGCCCAGCAGCAAGGCAGGGTGGGGCTGGCCTGGTGTGTCTACACTAGATGGTGTGCATGTGTGTGTGTGTGTATACATACAGGGGGACCTGGGGAACTGACCTGGGAGATGACGAGTTTGAAAGATGACTTAAACTCCTGCACATCAGTTGTCAACCGGCTCACCAGCTGCCCTGTCTTTTTAGCATCAAAGAAAGCAATATCTTGTCTGATGGTAGGTCAAGGGCACAGGAGGTCAGGGAGAAGAGGGAGACGTGAGTTCAGGATGAGCTGCCCCACCTCCGGGCCATCAGCCAGCCGCACCCCCACCCTGTAGCTGGCGGTACCGGAGCAGGTTGCTGAAGAGGGCCCTCCTCATGTCCACGGCCATGCGCTCGCCGATGCGGGACAGCAGCACCAGGTACCCGAAGGTCAACAGCCCCTGGGAGAGAGGCCGAGGCACTCAGGGGCGCCTGGGAGGCTCCTCTGGGTGCCCCCAGGCCCTCCCTCCTGCCATACCTGAACGCCATAGAGGATGAGCAGGGAGGTGCTGAGATGCCGGGACTCAGTCAGAAAGCTCCCCACGTGATCCCTCGTGTACTTGGCCACGATCTCCACCAGCTGGCCCAGAAGCAGGGGGATCTGCACATTCACCAGGGCCGCACCCAGTGCCAGCTTGGGGGGCGGGCAGACCTTTAGAAGGGGCCATCTTCTTCCCCATCCCTGGCCCTGACCTTGGCCCTCCCTCCCCTGCAGCGGTTCCTGCTTTGGCTACTTCTCTGTTTCTTTGAGACAGTTGAGTTAAAGGCCAGGCTGCCAGCCGCAGGGGACCCCTGTACCCTGCACACCCAGCTGCTCTGTGCAGGATCTCCTGGTATCCCTTGGCTTCCAGTCCCCCCAAGCCAGCCAGCCCTTGCGCTTCCTGAGGCCTATTCTGAGACTTGGTGAGGCAGACAAGCCGTCCCCATGCAGCTTGCAAACCCCTGACTGGCTCCTCTCCTGTCCCTGAGGTGGGGAAAAGAAGAGGGGCATCTCACCACGATGGCTGCCCCCAGGACCAGCAGATGGGGGCGCAGAAACTGCCAGAAGAGCTTCCAGTTAAAGCGGGACTCCCCAACATGAGGTCTGGAGCAGGCAGGAGGGGCCTCTTCCGCCTCACACAGTGCCACAAGGCCGAGGCGGGGGCACTTACTCCACACCACAGGGCCCAGAAGGATGCCCCCAACCCAGCGCCAGGCAGAGGGTCTTTGGCTGGGGGCTGGAGGCGCTCGAAGGAGGTGGGCCCGGAGCTGGGACCTCAGCTGGGCCACAGCCCTGAGGAGGGAGGAGCCATGGCGGCCGTGAGAGGACCTGCGGGGAGAGAACAGCATCGATGGCTCGAGGCCCCGACTGTCCCTCAAAGGAACAATACAGCTGCCCAGCTCCGGGCTGAGCCCTCCGGACAGCACCTCTTCCATAGGGTCCTGTGCTGCCTTTCCCAGGGCTGTTCTTTGGCAACCTCAGTTTCTGAGAGGAACGCAAACAGGCCAAAGAGTGGCGGAATGAGACAGCAGCCAGTAATCAGGCCGGAGACGTGTTCTCCCTGTGACGTCACACAGCGGGGCCTTCTCAGCCTCCACGGGCCCCTCTGGTCAGTGACCATCTCCAACCCATGCTCCTTCTTATCGCAGGACATCACTTTGGATGGCAGCTCGTCTACAGGTGCTCCTTTTCCAGATGAGGACGCAGAAGTCCCGAGGGAATCTGGCTCGGAGAGGCAAGAGAGGGCGAGCACCTCCCCTGAGCCTGGCTCCGTGCTTGCTTGCAGTGGCCGGCCTGGCAGGCGAGGCCCCCACCTCCCCAATCAATGGCCTGCTGCATTTGATCTTCCATTCCCTGGGAGGGAGATGCCCTTACTCTCACTTGATAAAAGAAAATGTCATGGGGGCTGAGAGAGCTGGAATACTTTGTCCCCCAGCAGCAGAATGGGGACAAGAGGAGACCCCCGATTCCAGAATCCAGGCTTGTTCTACTCTGCCATGTGTGCGGTGACCAAGGCCGTGTGCGGCAGGGCCTGGACAGGCCCCAAGTCTTCTGCTCGCCGGTCAGTGCTCCTTGCACCCCTCACCCTGGCTCCTCCCAGGCCTTGAGGGCTTATGTGACAACATACTCCCTATCAGCTCAAGGAGAAAAAAAGAAATAAAAATCCAAGTAATAGATCTTGTCACCTCAGATAGGCCAAAATCACCTTCTGTGTTCTGTGGTTTCCATATGGATCCATGGTCGGGTTGAGTGCTTACTGGCTGCCAGTGCTCTGCCGAGAGGCACTGGGAACACAGGCAAACGGGACAGACCCAGTGAGTACCCGCATGGAGGTTGGGTTTTAGTGCGGAGGACAAGCAGCTAATGACAAAGCTTGCTGAGTGTGGAAAGGGCACGGCAGGGCCCCCAGGGAGCACGGAGCAGGCGCTCCTCCTCCTGTCTGAGGGAGTCAGGAAGGGCCTTCCTGATGAGACTGAGGGTGAATGGGAAGGAGCTGGCCAAATGAAGGGTGTGTGTGTGTGTGTGTGTGTGTGTGTGTGTGTGTGAATTTACATCTTAAAGATCATAGCAGGGACGCCGGGGTGGCTCAGACGGTTAAGTGGTTAAGCGTCTGCCTTCGGCTCAGGTCATGATCCCAGAGTCCTGTGATCAAGTCCACATCGGACTCCCTGCTCAGAGAAAAGCCTGCTTCTCCCTCTCTCTCTGCTGCTCTCTCTGCCAAATAAATTAATAAAATTAAAAAAAAAAAATCAGAGCAGAGAGGAGAAGGCTGGAGAGGGACAAGACTGGCTACAGGGAGCTTGTTAGAAGTAGAAGTTACCTGGCCAGGAGTATGTGGTGGGATGCTCAAAGATTCAAATGAGGTTGGGCGCCCGGGTGGCACAGTCAGTTAAGCGGCTGACTCTTGGTTTCGACTCAGGTCATGATCTCAAGGTCCTGGGATCAAGCCCCGTGCGTTGGGCCCTGTGCGTTGGGCCCCGCGAGTTGGGCTCCACGCTTGTTGGGGAGTCTGCTTGAGGATTCTCTCTCCTTCTCCCTCTGCCCCTCTCCCCACTCGCGCGTGTGCTCTTTCAAATAAATAAATCTTAAAAAAAAAATACTCCCTTTGGAAAAAAAAGATTCAAATGATGTTACTGATGGGGAGGGACTTTTAAAAAACGAATAGAAGGAGGTTTTCCCTTTACTCTGATAGTCTTTAGTATTTTCAGACGCTCCTAACTGTATCTCCACCTCATCCTTCCCTAATTTCAGGGAGGCCTGGGTGGCTTCTTGCCACCTCTATGGTATGCCTTCTTCCATCCCGTTCCACCTGCCTGGTTTTTATGTCTTGTTTTCCACTGTGTACTTTAGGTCTGTCTTAAATTTTAGACAGAGAAGCTCACCCTGCTTCCAATTTCCCCATTAGACTTTATATTCCTTGAGGCAGGAAGCTCTATCCTATTCACATTGCATCCCCAGCACTTAGCAAAACTCTTGTACATAACAGATGGTCAGCAAATGCTTATGTTTGTTGAGTGCATGCCCTCATTAGAAATGCAGAGGAGAAAAATTTGACCTGACCTGCTACTGCACTGTTTGCAAAGTTTTAGACTTACTGAGGCCAACAATAAGAGATATGTTGTGCACTGCCACCCAGTATGATAAACATGTCACACAAAATTGAAATGTTTCACAAAACAATACTTTCCCTAATTTGTTACACATGTATTCTATTATATTCACTTTTTTTTGGAACTTGAACTCATGACCCTGAGATCAAGTGTCACGTGCTCTATAGGCGCCCCCTGTTATATTCACTTCTATTTTTTTTATTAATGATTTCATTCATTTATTTGAGAAAGAAAGTGTGAGAGAGAGAAAGCCCGAGGGGGGGAGGGTCAGAGGGAGAAGCAGGCTCCCCGCTGAGCAGGAAGCCCCATGGGGGACTCGATCCGGGGACTCCAGGATCATGACCTGAGCCGAAGGCAGACGCTTAACCGACTGAGCCACCCAGGCACCCCTTATATGCGCTTCTAAATGATCCTGACCCACCAAATTCATTTTAAGATCTCTTCTTGTGACTTGCACGTTTGAAAGACACTGCACTTGTGAACACAGAAATACTTGGATATTATTTGATGTCTTTCCCTGGGTTTCTCTCTGGTTTAAATGATATCAACACCCTTACTCTTTTCCTAAGGACTGTTTTCAAGCTTTTTAATAATTCACCATGGCTACTTTCCAGCTTCTCTCATCTTCTCCAAACCAAGACTCTAAGCAGGGCTTGGTCACTGCCAAGAACTGGGGGATTACTTCCCAGCAACGGACCTTCTAGCTGCAGCTTGGCCCAGCTCTTGCCCTCTTTCAATCAGATGGGCTATCCAAATGACACAAGTTCACATCGACCCACCACTGCCAGTCTGCTGCCTGGCTGGCCTGCAGGTTATTCACTCCAGGATGAGAAAGGAATCAGTCCTTTCTCATAAAGCATTTACACTGGAGTCGCAGTTTCAGGGTCCACGTTCGTTTCCTACCTGCGTCTCTCTCTTTGAACCATGTGTAGAGTGAACACACAAAAACACACATGTACGCGTTTCTAGACTGACTTTCTTTATCTCTGATGAAAGTATCCTTATCTACGAACCATTTATGTTCAGCTCATATTGAATCTCAGGAGCAACACCAACACTAAATGTCTCTGGACACTAATAATTTTTGTCCAGATTGCCAGACCAATTCCAAGAACGAGGACAGGAAGAGGGGACAGGAACGGCGGCGACCGCAAGGCTCAACACCTGTGCGGCATGGCGCCCTCTGGTGGGAAGTACGGACCCGGTGTGGTCCCCGACCCAGAGCGCGCCCTCCGTCCAGCCCACACACAGATACAGACCGACCGAGTCTCCTGCTGGCACCTGGATCGTCGCTACAAATAACAGGCCAAGCCCCGGGGAGTGACATTCCACCCCCCGGGCCGGCCTACAACTTCCAGCAGGCCTTGCGCGAGCCCGAGACTCCATCTCCCGGCGGGCCCCACGCACGGCCAGCCGGTCAATGGCCCGCGCTCCCAGTAGGTTTGTCACTTTTTACCTGACGGCCGAGAATGTCTGGAAGCAGAGGGGTGGTAGCAGCCTGCCTGGGACAGGGCCACCCCGAATCCCGACCCGAAATAAGTGCACCAACATGATGGAACGGGACTACAGGAGCAGCCGGCAACGGCAGCTTCACCTTCATCCCATTGAGATCTCCATGTTGGCTCCGGCCCCCATCCCGACAACCCCCTCGCGCCTCGGCGACGATTGGCGGAAAGATGCATCAATCTCGTCGAAGGCTGTGATTGGAGAAAGCCTTTTCGGTCCTCCTCCTTCCGGAACTGTGATTGGAGACAGCCGCCTGCCCGCCCGCCCCCCAGGCCTGGGCGGGGCCGAGCAGGTGGGGCATTGCCTTCCGCCCACTGCCGGGGTCATCTCTGGGGTGACGTTACTAGGGTATGCTCAGTGCGTCCCTCCACCGCGGGGTATCCATAGTAACGTGCCAGCCACTGACCTCGGGGCTGTTCTCCTATGGGTGCTGCCGGCGGACTCCAGATGTCCCGGGGTCTCCAAGGAGTGTAGAGTGCTGGTCCTCGGGGAGGAAGGGACAAAAATGACCTGGGGAATTTTTTCAAAACGTCTGCACGTTCCTTGTCACCCGCCCCTTTCTCCCAGACAGGTCAGAGTTCCAGGGACGGCAGGCACGTGTATTTGGGAACTTACTACCCTGGAGATTCTGATGCACTCCCCCTACTTAACGATTGAGAACCATTAGCGTGGAGGTCCTGTATAGCTTATCGAGGCGCGACCCCAGATTCTTCTTCCCCATAGATGCCTTCCTCACCGCAGTCAAGGTGACTTGCCTAGGGCTCCCACTGCACAGCTCTTGCACCTGTGTTATTTATTTCTTCCGTGTAATTATTTGCATAGCTACCTCCCCCATGGGCTGTGACTTCTTTCTGGGTAGTGGCTCTGTCTCATCCATCCATACCCCTTTCCCCTCCAAGTGCCTGGCAGAGAAAAGTGCCCTTTTTATAATAAATTCGCTTGAATTGTGGGTGGTGGTAGGGAGGCTGTCAATTGATGAATCTGGTGTGGAACTGGGTAGGAAAATGTGCCAGATTAGCTTGAAGTTGGGCTGGGAGTATGGGAGGGGTCCTAATGTGAGTATGGTGGAATATTGGGGTGAGTGAGGTTGAGGAGCGATCAGGCAAACCCTACATAACCCACCTTGGCAGATGTCTCAGAAAGATGGGAACTTCCTAGCCCCCTAGCCCTTCCTAGCAGTGTGGGATTCCATCTTGGGCACTAGGATGTCACCTCTAGAAGTAGTGAATCTCGTTTCGTAGCTCCGCCTCCTGCTGCTCAGGGATAAATTGATGTAATAATCCTTGTCCTGGAAGGCAGCACAGAAGGAGAAAAACAGGCATATCTGGACTCCCATTTTGTGGGCAGTTCTATGATTGCCTCCACATTCCTCCAATGAACACTCTGGACCCACTTTGTTCCTCTCTCTATTTCATGGATACTGTCCCCTACAACAGCCCTCAGGCCTAAGCCCCTGAGGCCCTGACACCTGGTTGGCTGAGTCAGCACCTCAGGAATGGGGTTCAGTAGGAAACCTGGTGATTCAGGGCCTCAGGAATGGCATCGGACATGCCAACAAACCAGCTGCCTCCTCCTCTTCCTCCTCCTCCTCGTTGAAGTGGCAGCAAGGAACTCAACTCAGCCAGCTCATCTCTGGGTATTCAAATTACCCTTCCAAATCCCAGCCCCCCAACTGCCCTCTGCTGGCTCAGCTCTGATGCTTCTCAGGGGCCCCCCCAAAACTTGATCAGGACTAGGGGAGAGGGTTTTTGGCGTCTATGGGAATAAAGAAAAAAAAAACATAATAGAACTTCCAAGGGGCCCTTTTCTACTGTAAGTTCCCCAAACCGCTTCCCACATCCAGGATAGCTGCCTCTCCTTTCTTCACCGCCTTCCCCTCCTCAAGTTTCCTCCAACCTGGCCGCGGAGGCGCGCAGTCTCCCCTCTTCCCTTAGTACCATCAGGCAAACTGAACACCAGCCCTTTCTTGTCTTTTTCTTCTTGCTTTTGGTCTTAAAGCATTTCTCTGTTGATCTTTGGTGTGTGTGTGTGTGTGTGTGTGTGTGTGTGTGTGTAGGGAGAAGGGAGGCAAGATTTCAAGGAACCAAAGATTTAACATCTCGGCTTCATAGTCTTATAATCCTTTTATAGGAGTTTCTTTTTGCTGTGTTATTTTGGCTGCTACTCTCTGGCCTCCCCTTTAAACCCACTCGAGGTCTGAGGAGGAGACAATAGGTGTCTCTGGTCTGCATGCTCTTTAGTCCCCGCCTCTCCAGCTTGCACCCCTCCCAGGCACAGAGGCTTGGCCCTGAGAGGTTTGGCCACAGATTGCCCTGGAAAGGACGTGAGTGGTCAGACAGGTGACTGAGAGCTGGGACGCCTGAGGCCTGCCCTGACTGAGTCACTGCGCTGTTGTTGTCACCATCCTTGTTGAAGTCCCGGCTCAGCACCCCAGACCTCTGTGGAGGCAGCAGCAGCTCCTATTCTTCCAAGCTTTCCAGAGAAGCTAGTGGCCTGATGGTGAGGCGAGTGGGCTGGGCGGGGAGCAGAGGGCGGCTGGGGCCGTGGGGAGACCTGGGGCCTGGATCAGTGCCTCTCCTCCCCATGCCCCTGCCTCCTCTTCCTCCTCCTCCATGTCGGGGTCCTGGCGGAGGGAGGATTTCCATCTTCTCTCTGTCCCCTGCCCCTCACACAAGAAGCTCCCCTTCCTCGGCTCCCCCTCTGGCCCTGGGACCCCCCTGCCCAGCGGTGCAGGCCCCAGGGGCCTCTCAGCCTCGCCACAGTGCCCTCCCCACCCCCACAACGCAGGCACAGCCCGCGATGACCCCCACCTCTGCTCCCCCCTCTTGGGGCTGCCACTCCACCCCACCCCCAGCCTCAGTGACTCCCCCTGCCTCACACCGATGCCCCCAGGACCCTCCTGGGCTGCGGATAGGCCCTCTGATCCCTGAGCAGGATTATGAGCGGCTGGAAGACTGTGACCCTGAGGGGTCCCAAGACTCACCCCTCCATGGGGAGGATCAGCAGCCCCTGCTCCATGTGCCTGAAGGGCTCCGAGGTAAGTGTGGGTGTGGTGCTGTGAGGGGAGTGCACTGGGGAGGGCCTGGGGGCTCCTGAGGGTGTGAACTGGTCGCTCAGGTGAGAGCCAAGTCCCAACAGTCTCTCCTCTGTGCCCAGGCTCCTGGCACCACATCCAGAACCTGGACAGCTTCTTCACCAAGATATCCTTTGTGCTGGGCCCGGCAGCAGTGGCATTGGGCGGGGCGGGGGGCTCGGGGCTGGTGGCATTCTTGGCAGGGAGGCTCTGAGGGTGCAGTGGTTTGGGGGAGTGAGGGAGAGGGGTCCTCAAGAAAGGCCCATCCTGCCTCAGGCTTATTTCTTAACATGCTATCACATCTATAGCTACCACCAGAGGAATGGCTTTGCCTGCATCCTGCTGGAGGATGTCTTCCAATTGGGGTGAGATGCTTGTCCCAACCCCCAAACTCTGTCATCTTGCTTCCTCAGTAGTGCCTGCTGCTTCTAGTCCACCCAGCATGGCCACAGCCCCCCTCACTCCCAGCAGCCCAGGGGTTCAGCAGGGTGGGGAGGACCCCCCAGGGCTGGCCTGGAGGCTGACCACTGCACTCCCTGTCTCCCAGACAATTTGTCTTCATTGTCACCTTCACAACCTTCCTCCTTCGGTGCGTGGATTATAACATCCTCTTCGCCAACCAACCAAACAACCGGACCAGACCTGTGTTGCTCCACAACAAAGTAACCTTGGCGGATGCCATCTTATCCTCCTCCCAGTGTGCCCAGCGGTGAGTGACAGCTGGTTGGGGAAATGACTGGGGGAGATGAGCAGGCGAGAACCAGCCATCCTTTTGTCCCTTGGTCTGAATCAGCGGTTCTCCAGGTTTTTGGTCTCGGGACACCTTTAATACACTTAAACTTGATCAGGAACACCCAAGAGCTTTTGTTTATGAGAATCATATCTATCTGTATTTACCTTATTAGAGATTAAAGCTGAGAATAACTTTAAAATCTAAGAATGCAGAAGCACACATTCCATCAGCTGCTGACATGATGTCACACACATAGCCTCTGGAAAAGTCCACTGTACCCTCATGAGAGAATGAGCGTGAAAATGGCAGAAAACCTGAGTGTTCCCTGAAAAAAATTTGGACCTTGCAGACACTTGTAAGGGCCTCAGGGACTCCCAGGGCGTACACTTTGAGAACCACTGGTTTAGCTGGGTCCCCCTCTCTGTGACTTTTCCATTCTCTCCCCAAGTCTGGTCTCCCTTTCTATTGGGCCCCCACTTTCTCGCTGCTATCTGTCCCGCCCCACACAGGATCCGCTCCAGCCCCCTGCTGGTCTTCCTGCTGATCCTGGCTGCAGCCTTCTGGCTGTTACAGCTGCTTCGCTCAGTCTGCAACCTCTTCAGCTACTGGGACATCCAGGTGTTTTACAGGGAGGCCCTGCACATCCCCCCGGTGAGCTGGGTGGGCGAGGCTGTGGACAGGGGCCCTGTCGGGGGGGCAGAGAATAGGGGAGGAGTGGGGGCTGTGCAGACAGGAGGACCCAGTGGAAGGCAGGCACCTGCCCAGGCCCTGAGTAATGTTAGGAGGTGGGGTACCACCACTTAGAAAACATGGTCTGGACCCTAGTGGAATTTTGTTGATTTAGTTAGATTATAGAAGATGATTTATGGTCACATGCTTGTGGTCAAAACAGTAGGTACTTAGAGGAAGGGTGGCCATCAGGCTTTACAGCACAGAAGGAATTTGGGTGGGGCTGGGAAGGATAGGAAATGGGAAGGCATTCCAAGCCCCAATGCAGGAAGTGGGGCAGCACTGAGATGGACCCCCTGGCCTGCAACTGAGTGGTCAGGCCCCATCGGGTGATCCCACCCCTGTGTCTGGCCTCACTTTCTATTACAGTGAGCCACTGTGATGGGCCCCTTCCCTGTCCCTGTTCATGCTTTGCCCTGTCTTTCCTTCACTGTCCTCATCTGGTCCATGCTCCTCCTTGCTCTGTTCCTAAGTTCTTTCTTTAAGGCCCAGCTCAAAGGCTACCTTCTGCAGCCAGCTTCCCTTGCTCCCCTCAGAAGTGCAGAACCTTCCACACATCTCTCCTGCCCAGCCAAGGGGAGAGGTTTCAGAAAGCCCCCCAGGCAGAGCGCAGGGAGGATGGAGAGGGCCAGGGGAGCACAGGTCAGGGAGGGCAGGAGTTAGACCACTGCTCCTCCAGGAGGCTGCTGACCCTTCTCTTCCTCGTCCTCCCTTCTTTCTCCTCCTCCCCTATTCCTTCCAGGGGAAGGGGCGAGCCAGGGATGGACTGGAGAGGCCGGCCTGAGGGACTTGACTAAGCCGGACTGGGGCAGCTGGGTGAAACTGGGCTAACGTGAGGTTTGCAGATGAGACCCAAGGGAGATCTGACAGCATCCCAACAGACACGGACACAGTGCCTTAGGCAGGTTAATCTGGTGGTGGAGTGGGTGGGGCTCGGGGGTCTCAAAGCATGCTGAGACGAGGAGGCTTCCGGCCCTATGTTGGCCAGCACCCTAGGAATGGGAAGGAGAGTTTGCATTCCCTGCAGCAGTTCTGTGCTGTAGGTGAAGAACTTCCGGGCGGATGGGGGAGGGTCCAGAATATCTGCTCTTAGGGAGCTGAAATCCGATACCTGAAGAAGTTAAATGATGAGGTGTCACCGGGAAGCACATGACTCATGGCCTCAGGAGAGGCAGGGGCAGGAGGAACACAATTCAGAAGAGGATGAAAGGAAGAAGTGTCCTAATTGTTTGTGACAAGGTCAGGGGAGGTCAGGGCTTTCATGCCTTGAAGGACAGTGGGAGACCAAGGTGGCGAGAGGGCAAATGAGGGATGCAGCTCTGCTCAAGGTGAGTTTGGGCATCACCATGCCGAGGAATCCAGCTTGCTGGCGCTCAACAGTGCCCTCTCCTCAGGAGGAGCTCAGCTCGGTGCCCTGGGCCGAGGTGCAGTCCCGCCTGCTGGCGCTGCAGAAGAGCGGGGGGCTGTGCGTGCAGCCGCGGCCGCTGACCGAGCTCGACGTCCACCACCGCATCCTGCGCTACACCAACTACAAGGTGGCGCTGGCCAACAAGGGCCTACTGCCGGCCCGCTGCGCGCTGCCCTGGGGAGGCAGTGCGGCCTTCCTCAGCCGCGGCCTGGCGCTCAACGTCGACCTGCTTCTCTTCCGCGGGCCCTTCTCGCTCTTCCGCGGGGGCTGGGAGCTGCCCGACGCCTACAAGCGCAGCGACCAGCGGGGCGCCCTGGCCGCGCGCTGGCGGCGCACGGTGCTGCTGCTGGCCGCCGTGAACCTGGCGCTGAGCCCGCTGGTGCTGGCCTGGCAGGTGCTGCACGCCTTCTACAGCCACGCGGAGCTGCTGCGGCGCGAGCCCGGGGCGCTGGGGGCGCGCCGC